CCCCAAAACCCCAAAACCCCAAAACCCCGAATTCCAAACTCAAAAAAATAAAGTTAAAGGTTTAAAGTAAATAAATAGATATTTGTGAGTGGTAATATTCATAAAATTTATTCATCAGGATCATCCTGAGAGCCCTTGCCTTACTAATTAAGATTGAGAACTCAATACTCCTCATCCTCTTTTTCTTCATCTTCATCTATAATGACTCTAGGCATTCTAGCTTTTCTGTGGATCCATTGATTAACCTGCTATTAGTCAGTCTCATCGAATAATGTGCTAGTCCTTTGTCTTAACCTCAATATTCTCAGTCGCTCTTCTTCTTATAACTATAATAGATGCTGCTAGTATTCATTTAGTTGATTGTTATTCGGAGCATTCCCATCATAGAAACCTGAATTTTAAAGACTTATTAATTCTTAATGATTTTTAGTAATCCAGTTATTATGCAGCGCATTTGAGTTTTAATGTTGATTCATTTATGATGATTTTGTATCAAGATTAATCTCAGATATATTATTGCTTGTGATGGTTGTTGTTTAAGTAGGTCTTCCATTAGGATTATAACAATTCTATTCGTATTACATTTAGCTATCTGAGTTTTGAGATTGTAGTAGCATCATCTAGTCGTCAAGTTGTCGCTTTTTCCTTTGCAAAAATGAAGATGAGCCAGAACTGCCATTCCCATTTTTATTAGATTCCTTTGTATGCGAACTTAGATACCAAGGGAAATGCGAATTTGCTGAGGAAAACTCATTCAAATTTGTAGTAGATGAAGCATGATCATTAATAGGGTTGTTTATTAGGTCATTCACTGGCTAATCTATCATGGCTTAGGGAGTTAATAAGTTATTATTTTGGCTATTCTAGGAATCTGTAAGAGTTTGGATGCCACTACTACAGGAATTAAGACTCTTCTATTGTAAGTAATTGCTCTTAAGCAGATTCAAATTTGAAGCCTAGAGCAAGTTATTGAACTTTTCCTCATTAGCACTTTATTCTAATACTGCCTCATCTATTTTAACAGTACTCATTTATGTATGCATATTATCTTTGTGATGGTTGTTGAAAGTAGAAAATCTATGAGCTGATACTGAATTATTTGTTAAAAATGAGTTTAGCAAATCCCCTCTATCAGCACTTGCTGAATTTTAATTCAAGTTTTATCTGTGATTAAGTGATAAGTATTATTAGTTATGCTTGTGAATGGAGAGTTTATGTTCTGTATTTAGCAATTCATTAGCTCGTTTATCCTCCAAGAACTAGTTGAATAATTGATCATCATCATAGTTAGTATATTGAGCTTCGATTCTCATATAATTGTTATTAATACTTCGAGTGTCTTAGAGATCCTAATTATCAATGACACTGTCATTTTGATATTTACTCAGCTATTTCTTATATAATTCTCTATAAAATCTACTTGTACCACCAGACATCTCATAATAGCTTGGTGAGTATTATAGAGAAGGATCATCATCTAATGAGTGATATCCTAATGTCTACTATGATAAAACGGGCTCCGGAGATTAAATAGGAACTGCGCTATTTTATAGTATATTTATCTCATTCTAAACAGTATAGTGATTGCATGATTATCTTTAAGATGGTGGCTAGTCATCTTAAGAATTCTGTAGCCAATTGTTGTAGGATGGAGATAATTTATTTTAGTTGATGACTATATTCACTTGATTCTAAGATTCCTGATCTGGAATATTCTTAATATGTGAGTCTGAAGTGTTTGTAGCAGCATTCTTCAGTCTTTCCTAATTTATATACAAATTTAATTCTTGGTTTCTTCTCCTCTCCAGTTCTGCCTGAGTATTCCTAATCAAATCTTTCAAAGAAGAAGTTTTGATGAAGTTTTTAATCATTTCTTTGGCTGGATTATTTGCCTTAGCATCATAAAAACTTTATACAGCTGGTTAGCTTTATAAAGTCTGCTTTGATCTGCTTGTCTATAGAATCTTTTTATGTTTCTATATTAGATTTTTATTTTAAGGCTCTTCATCAATCAATACTTATTAAATTGGTTTGAGCTTTGAATGAGACTAGCTTTATCTTTGTGCTAATAGCAGTGATGTCGGTTTTGAATGCTAGATTTATTTAGAAATTTATTGCTGTTATTCTTTTATATTTTTCTCAATGATTACTCTAGTATCCAATTAAGCTAACTTTTAAATTGTATTGAGACATCTTTATGATGTTGATTGAGGTCAGTCTGTTTAAGCTGGTCTTTGATGATTATTAATGATCTTTCCATGTGACTAGTTTTTTATTAATTGAGAGTTTCCACTGCGATCTTACCTTGACTTAGATCTATTGGTACTTGAATTATCTTTATTAATGTAGCTTATCTGTTTACTATTATTATTTATGTCATTTTCAAGTCTATCCCTAGACTTAATTTGAGACTTTTATCTCATTACATTACTGTTTGCTCCTCTTGTCATTGATGAACCTGTAGCATTTCTCGAATTACTTCCTTATCTACTTGTATTATTGATATATTTAGCATAAGTCATAATATTTTTAGCTGTGGGACGAGATAATTGATTCTACTGCGAAGAGTATTGATTTAGCTATGCAATTTTTTAAGCTAATGTTTGATTCAATTGCGCTTGTTTATTGTTAGTGATAGGGATATTCCTAGCATGAATGTTTGATTGCGATGATGAACTATTCAGTTTTTTTGTAACATTGTTTCTTGAAGTCAATGCAGCATGAGAAATAGGTATTGAGTTTAGAACTGCTGTAGATTCAGAATATTTCATAGTTTAAGGAATCTCATTTATTGACATGTACTGAGCTCTATCTTCCTAAGGATTAGCTCCAAATTTTATATTGTTTCTTGAAATTAGGACTTTATTTTGAGTAGCTAATTGGGGAAACTTCATCTTTCTGATAGGAAGGCATTCATACTTTAAATCATGTTCTTAATTAGTTGCAAGTTAGAAAATGTTCTTAGAAGCATCAATATTTAAAGTCTTTTACTTAATATTTTCTTCCTTATTTCTACTTTTATTTTTTTTACTAGAACTGTAATTCTCAGATTCATTGTTGTGCAAAGCATTTGCATATCTACTCTAAAAGATAAATAAACAATATTTTACAGTTAGGTTCTTGTTAATTTGAAGCTAATTTGTCAAGATTAATTCTTGCTCCTAATAAATTTACTAATGGCGCAAAGTTTCTGTGATTTGTTTCTCTATTGAAGCAAGATCCTTCTAACTTTCTGAGGTCTATATAAGTTTCAGTATTAAATCATTAGATGTTAAATAATACCTTAATCTATAGATTGATAGATGATTTAGGCCTATGAAGAGTATGAATCTTTTTAGTCATAGGCTTCTAAATAATTGGACTTTAAGGTGGAATCTTTGAGATTGACTATTACTAGTGCAATGACTATTAGTTCATTTTAAATTATATGATAATCAAGTTAATATTATTTCTAATAAAATCTATTTTATTCTAATTTTTTGGGGTTTTGGGGTTTTGGGG